GTCAGCATAGCCCTACTGGAGATCATGGGCCAGACAGGGAACTGGCTGTGGTGGGAATATAAATAAAGCATGATCAACAGTGGAGGTATGGCAAACTGAAGTGCATTTGCCTTGCCTTTTGCATTGCCAATTGTCCAGTTTCTCTGTGAATGTTGAGTAGAAAAGTCAGCAGTTCTAAATACTTGGCCTCAGTGTTTTCTTTTGTTTGTGTTTTCTTTGCAGGGAGAGGAACAAACATCTCAAAGATGAACGTGACATATTTTTACAGGTAAGCAACGGTTATTTTCAAACCCAGTGTTGAGCAAACACGTATCAGAACAGCCTCAAAAGACGGAGATCAGGCTGTGCAGGAGGCAGACTCTTGTGCCACTTAAATCTTGCCCTGTTCTTAATTTATGTTGTCTTTTTTCTCTCAAGAATAAGATTTTTCAATTTGCTGAGCAATTTTAAGAGCTGCATTTTTAGAATTATAAAGTTAGAGCTATGTTGAGAAAGATGAATGTATTGTATAAGCAGCTATGAAGGTGATCACGAGAGGATGAAATAACCTAAAAAATTGAACAATTAAACTGTGTTAACCTATTGAGTCAAGAGTAGCTAGTGTTGTGAAATGTTTATACATCAGTACAGTATCTGAGTACCTGAATCAGTACCTGAACACCTGTAGGTACTGGGTAGGAGCAAACCGCATGAACTCTTTATCCAGCAGCAGAGAATGGGCCCCTGAGAAGTTCCAGAAGTGCCTTGGCTGAAGGAGACTAAAGCCACTTGATTACACTTGTGTTCTTACTCGTACAAGAAGCTGCTCGTGTAAATCATCATGTATCTATTGACTTCTTTTCGTGACCTTATCCTGTTTTATTGTGGTCCACTTAGTTTATAAAGATGAATTCTTGTAGGATCTGGAGTTTCCATGTTCTGATTGTTGATCAATCAGGATTTGGAAGCGTTTATAGCTCTAGGACTTTTTTCTACAGATTTTTCTTTCATATTCATTGCATTATTTAAGCGTTCGGAATGAAGTGATGAACAACAGGAGTGAATTAGTAAGAAGTGTTCTGTATTTCAGCAGAAATGCAAAACAAGTGCTCCAGAAGCCAGCTGGAAGCAAAGATCAGGGTCTGTCATTGGGAAATACATAGAGGGCAAGATGCTGCCTATCAGGTAAGAACTTTATTCATGTGTTCCCTGTTGGAGGACAGTGGGGCTTAGAGAAAGATGTGGAACGTTTTCTTTCTCATACCTTTAGACTTTTCAAAACATCTCTTTTAAAGTGTCTGTTGCTGTAAGATTCCTGTGCTCTTTAAGAAATAGAGGCTAATTCTTACGTAAAACAAGTGTACTGTCTGCAAAGGCAAGAGGCTTCCCCGCTGCGGGTGGGTATGTTCCGGGAGGCACAGAAGCTTGCCCGTGACCATGTGTTGATGTGGTACAGTGTCCTTGGTAACTCTCTGACAGAGCATGTGTTGGGTTTATGTGATGGGGTTTTGGTAGCTGGGGATAGAGAAGGTTGTTCAGGGCCTTGTTCAGTTGAGTTTTTGAACACCTGGCTGGAAGTCACACAGCTGCTTTGGGCACTTGTTCCCTTGCTGCACCAGTCTCATGAAGAATTTTTTTTCCCTGTATCAAGTCAGCCTTTCTCTTATTGCAACTTGCATCTGTGGTCATTGCACACATCTGAGAAGACTCTGGATCTGTTTTATCTCCACTCTTCTGTTGAATCACCACTTAGCCTTTTTTTCATCCATATTAGACAAACCCAACTCCCTTCTATCTGCTGGAGACAGAATTAGATTACACATAGAAAGGATCTGGGTTGGGGGTTGTTTTATTCTTCTGGAATAGAGAGGAGTAGGAAATGACAGTAGACAAATTTAGTTTAGCTATTCCATGAGGTCAGAATGAGGCTAATCTTATGTTTTGTGTTCTGGTTCGGGTTTTCCTGATAAGTTATTAGCTTTCCCCGTAATGCTTATAGTTATCAAGCTTTTCAGTAGACATTGGACTGAATCTACTGTGCCTGCTGTGAGGAGTAAGAAACATGAGAAATGAAATTCAGTTACACTAGAATAAAACAATAGGAATCCGTGTTTTTACGATGTACTTAAATGTTTTCTCTGTCTAGCTGTTCAGTTGAAGAAGAAGATGTTTTCAATAGCTCCAAGAGAATGAATTCTGCTGGACTGAATGGAATTCTCTCTGGAGAGCCTGATGCTGGAGCCACTGGAGGAAAGTCTAAAGCATCGCATCTCCAAAGAATAATATCGATCGAGGAAGATCACCTACCCCAGCTTCTTGACAGGCTGGTTGATAAACAGCTGAACAGATGGACTGGAGAAGATGAGAACAATTCTTCTGAGATGGAAATGGCTAAGAAAAACACAGAAAAATCAATGGAACACTCACCGTCGTCTTCCAGAGAGCAGCCTGTAGGGAAGGAAACACTGTCAAATGTAAGGGGGCAAAGAGGACCTCACCTTGAGTACTGTGTGCAGTTCTGGGCCCCACAATTTAAGAAGGATGTGAAGGTACTTGATTGGGTCCAGAGGCAGGCAACAGAGCTGGTGAAGGGGCTGGAACGAATGTCCTGTGAGGACTCTGGGTTTGTGTAGGTTGAAGAAAAGGAGGCTGAGGGGCGACCTCATGGCTTTCTACAGCTTCCTGAGGAGGTGGAGAGGGAGGTGCTGATCTCTTCTCCCTGGGATCCAGTGATAGGACGTGTGGGAATGGTTCAAAGCTGTGTCAAGGTGCATCTAGACTTGCTATTAGGAGACATTGCTTTACCGAGAGGATGGTCAAACACTGGAACGGGCTTCCTAGAGAGGCGGTTGATGCCCCATGCCTGTGAGTGTTTAAGAGGCGTTTGGACAGTGCCCTTAATAATATGCTTTAACTTTTGGTCAGCCCTGAAGTGGTCAGGCAGTTGGACTAGATGATGGGTGTAGTTCCCTTCCAACTGGAACTATTCTATTCTATTGGACCTTGGAAAACATGGAATGATGTTGAAGGCTAATGCTTTATTCTTCGAATCTAAAATAATTTAGTTTTTAAAGTTAAAGCATGACAAATTAAGCCATTGCATGAAGAGGGAGAAGGAAATGTACTGCAGATAGCGTTGAAGGTACAAAGAAGGGAAACTCAACCTAAAGGAGCGGTAGCTGTGCATGGACTTATGTCCGAAGGACTGTTTAGGAAAAATGAAGTTAAGCCTTATGATAGATGACACCAGAAGATCCACTGAAAGTTAGCAATTATCTAAAAAAAAGAAGCAACTCTTTTTTTTGAAGAGTTGGTGGGCTTTTTTTGCCAAGAAGTGACATTGCTCATTCTGGTGCTTTTGAGTCAGGTTTGGTACCTGTTACACTGCCTGAGAAATAATGAGAGCAAGTATCTTTACTTTTTAATTATTTCTTGAGAAGACTTTTAATCAGCAAGTTGAAACCCGTATTTTTTTTTCTCCTCTAGCTTGTATATCCATGTTAAAAATGAATTCGCCATGCAGTAATAGTCCTTAAAACAATATACTGGAAGGTACATTTCTTTGTAGTCTAAAGTCCTTCTTGCACTGCTATTGCTTCAGAGCTAGCTGTGCTTGTTTGCTAATTTTAGTATCATCCTGAAGTATTACTCATTTTTAGATTCTTGAAGGACATGTTAGAAGAAATTAAAGTATAGGAAAAATAGGTATGCTTGGTCATAATTATGTAGTTCTTTTAGAAGAAGCAGACATATCTTAAAATTTTTTTATAGAATTATGCCATGGTTACATAACAGCTTCCAAGTGGTACATTTTAATAAAAAGTCTGGGGCACAGAACAGAGCTTCATCCTTTGAAATGATTAGTAACAGCTTCCAAGTGGTACATTTTAATCAAAAGTCTGGGGTACAGAACAGAGCTTCATCCTTTGAAATGATTAAATACAATGCATGCTTTTTGCTTGCAGTATGACTTATTTTATATCACATTTTCAAACTATAGCATCACTGGACTTTAGGACAGCAAAACCTGGATAGGTCATCAGGTGCAGCTAGGACAAACCTGTCCTGCCTGCTCTGGTTTGGCAGTCATGCCCCTTGGAAAGTACCTTCCCTCAGCTGGGTAGGAACTGGGCATTCCCTCACATCTTGTTGCTTATAGTCTGTTTTTCTCCAAAACAGCTGAGAGCAAGTAGGGAGGGGAGAGAAGAAATCATAAAATGTCTCCTGCCTGGTTGTTGAAAACATTTTATTTTCATTTCTAAAGAAACATTGTGAGGGTAAAAAAGATGTTTGTTTCCAAAAGTCATTTAGAACTGGGAATTGGATTTTTTTTTTCTATGAAATGTCAATTTCTTAGCCCAGCTCTTAGTTTGGGTTGATTTTTCCTTTGTATTGTAAAATTTACTTTAAAACAACCACAGCAGAATACTCCTTTCTGATAACCTCTCTGTCTACCCGGCACTGAAATATGTGCATGGTCCTGCATGGTCCTCCTGGCCTGGCAACGACTGTTCAACTGGTGGCGTTCCATTGCTTAGGGAGTCTCCAGGCTGTGTGTCTGACCACTGCCACTTTGTGTGAGTAGGGCTTCATCTGCTTCTGTGTACCAGCTGTGGTCTGATGAACTTCTTTCTGGACAGCTCTTGAGATGACGGCTTTTTGACCATGAGATTTAGACATCAGAAGTGATCGTGTTCCATGCAGCGCTCCCTCTCCTGACAGCATGCCTGGGCTAGGAGGAGTGGCGTTCGATTCATTAAGTGTTTTCAGGGCAGCTCTGTGTATAATCATCAACTGGAGCCGGAGAAAACTTCAGAAAAATATAAATCCCTGCTTGCTGCATCGTGAGTTATGAGGTGTGAGTCTCAGGGCCGTATGCCATTTAGATTAGATATAAGGAAGAAATTTTTCACTCTGAGGGTGGTGAGGCACTGGCACAGGTTGCCCAGAGAAGTTGTAGCTGCCCCATCCCTGGAAGCGTTCAAGGCCAGGTTGGATGAGGCTTTGGGCAACCTGGTGTAGTGGAGGGTGTCCCTGCCCATGGCAGGGGGGTTGGAACTGGATGATCTTTGAGGTCCCTTCCAACCCAAACCACTCTATGATTCTATGTCAAGTAGACTGTCTTCTGCAGCCAGTCCTTCATAGAATCGTCTAGTTGGAAGAGACTTTCAAGATCGAGTCCTTCTCTCCCCTCGTGTTTTGCTGCGTGAAGAGGGGTGTAGGATTTAGAACTACTTGAGCAAAGGAGGCAGAATGGTTCCGTGCAGTTAGTACGTGTGTCGCTCACTGGGATGTGAAGTCTCGTCGTGCTCTGTTGTGCACTAAGAAAATGGAGCATCTGAGACAAGCTGTATCTTCCAACTCGTTGATCTTTGTGTTCCAGTAGCTTGCACGGTGTTGTATTGCTGCGTTCCGTGATGTCATTGCTTACTGGCTGCTGGCGTGGAGCCCTCCTGTTCTCCATGCCTTCATAGTGGCTTAGCTGCTAATCCTTTATCACCTGCTGCGTCTTGTAGGCCAGTAGAACCGATGCACATTTTTTCTGCCTTTGGAAACGGACGTTTCCATCCTATGGAAGGTGACTTCTGAAAGTGTCTAAGGATTTGCAGCAGTACATGAGGCCAGAAACTGTTAATAGGCTGAGCGTTTTTGAGTGGCTATGAAGATGAAGCTGCAGTTACTATAGGCAGAAATGTGATTGGGAAAACACCTGAAGGAGCCGTAATGGATATTAAAGCAAGACTTTCTGTCCTAAACCTCTGGCTGAGATGCAATTCCTCTGCCTCCTGTTCTTTCAATATGGGATGTGAAACACTATGTTTATACCAGCCGTCTTCCACGTTGGTGTTCAGTTGCACAAAAGGAAGGGACGTCGCTTGACCGGGCTACTTGTTTTATGAAGGCCACTCAAAAGTCACGTCTAGGGAAGACTTTTTCAGACTGCATCGTGAACTAAAGTAAATTTAGATCCCAGTGCTATTCCATTATCCCATCAATACTTTGCTGAAGCAGACTATGAAGTAGCTCATCCCTTCGTATTAATATTCAGCTGCAGTTTTAGCATCAAGTTTGTTTTATTAAGGTTATTTGAAAGAGTGGACTTGATACATCTCTATGAAAAATGACTGCCTGTTACGTCGGGAGTTCAGCTGAGGGCCTCTTGAGTCTTAGTGGCTTAAGACTCTTTGAGTCTTAGTGCTGCTGTGGTGTGTGTGACCCCCAGGGACAGGGTATTGCAGGTCACGTAGTCGGTGTGTTTAGTTCTTGTTCTCAGAAGCGTTGTGAAAACGGTGCCAAGTTGGTGGTTGTGTGTTGACTTGTTATATTTCCCAGAGCACGCAGACTAATAAGCTGGGAATGTTTTTCAGCAGAACTGAAAATGGGCTTTCTATAGATGTGTGTGTATTACTAGGAGATTATAGTTGCTGTGGGGTTTGAGATTTTAATAGAAAATGAGAAATGAACAATGAGGTAAGAAATCTCTAAGTTGTAATGGGCCGTTAGCCCAGGTCATGAAAGAGATGTGTATTTTTGTCCCCAAAATTTGCAGCAGTGAATGAATTTTTTTAATGCTAAGGAAGACAGCAGCTTGAAGTTGTTTTTTTTTTTGTGTTTTCCCCCAGGAAGGACAGCTCTGTATTGGTTTTCTTTCTTTAAGGTTTGGTATATTTGTAGAAAACACTTACAAAGCCAGACTTCAGTGTCCCCCTTGAAGGACTGTCAGGCAGTGAGTTCAGTTCTGATGTCTTCTTGAAGTCAGCAGGTCAGGGTGTCTGCCATGAGGATGGAGCCAGGCTCTTCACAGTGGCACCCAATGATAGGACAAGGGGAAATGGATCTAAGCTGGAACATAGGAGGTTCTGCTTAAACATGAGGAAGAACTTCTTCCTAGTAAGGGTACCAGAACACTGGAACAGGCTGCCCGGAGAGGTTGTGGAGTCTCCTTTTCTGGAGATGTTCCACACCTGCCTGGACGTGTTCTGGTGTGATCTGATCTGGGTGGTCCTGCTTCAGCAGGGGAATTGGACTAGATGATCCTTTGAGGTCCCTTCCAGTCCCTGACATTCTGGGATTCTGTACCTCAAATATCTGACAGAGGGTCTTTCCCTCCCTCGCTCCCTTTCCCTCCTCCCAACTGCTGCCTCAGCAAACTAATGCCAGGAGCATCCATGGTCTTGCTCCCCTTCTACAGCATTAAGAACAAACTCACTGTCTCCCTCTTTCCCCCCCAACCTCTGCAGAACATGGGAGCAGAGGCCAGCAGGGGCATTCCCTGCAAACCAGGTGGTGATAGCATGTTTTTCCCTAAGCAACTCCTGATATATGTACAAAGGGCTTGGGAATAACGACAGACTTGACAGAGGATATAAGATTCTTTCCTGCATCCTCTAAGTTTAGCCCGCAGTAAACAGGATGTGAACAGGCATGACAGACTTGACAGAGGATATAAGATTCTCTCCTGCATCCTCTTAGCTTAGCCCGCAGTAAACAGGATGTGAACAGGCAGAAGAAATTTTCATTCTTTCTGCTTAAAAAAACCTAAATGACAGAAACATAGATGAATGTTTACAGCCTAATTAACTGGGTCTAATTCTCTGTCTGTCTGTCTTTCCCCCATGCTTGTGCCTGTAATGTTCATCTACAGATGTAGAAGTGCAATAATTCCATGGAAGCTCTTGGCTCCACAGAGAGAAGAATCTGGCGATGGCATAACAGAAGCAAAGTCATAATGTTTTTTTGGTTTATCTAGGGGAAGATGTGCTGTTTCCTCCATGTCATTGACATATGATGAAACTGCTGAGCAGAGCTGTGGTTTTGATTTTTTTGATTTGAGGTTTTGACTTGCAAGGATGAACATAAACAGTTTTCTTTTGGTGTTTTCATGCGTTTTTCAATGCAGTCTCACGCCAAGGTTCATATTCGGTGTGCTTCAGAGCTCAGTCAAAACCACTGCACCTGGAATGATGCATGGCAAACATCTGAAAGGCTGAGTTATTTTAAGAACCAGAATATTGCTTTATGAATAATGGAGAACATGATAGGATGAAATCTCTTCTTCTTGGCATCTCAGTTAGCCTTCCAGACAAGAAAAATGGGAGAGACAACAGGATTTATAGAACAATTGGAGACTAATCTTTGCTCTTACTTGAAGGAGGAGAGAATAAACTCTGTCCCGGACCGCTTATTCAAGATTATTTTTGTGGGCAACTCAAGTGTTGGAAAGACTTCATTCTTAAGGCGATTTTGTGAAGATCGTTTTTTCCCAGGCACAGCTGCTACTGTAGGTAAGTTTAAGACACATTATTGCTATTAATATTTTTATTCCAGTGGTACTTAGCAGCTTCTGGTGAAATCAGGCCCTAAGTAATCTGATTTTGTTTTAAAGAGGAAGTAGAATATTCTAATTATGTTTGGAGATTTAGCGTTATGCTAAGCCAGATTGAAACATTCATTATCCTTAGTCTGTATTTAGGCCTTACTTTTTCTGCAGCATTTATGAAGTGAAACTTATTCACAAGAAAAGATATTTAAATTAGTGGATTTGTCTTGCATTTGTGACAATCTGAGAACGTTCAGGTGAGCAGTCGCTGTAGCTCCCTTGACTTACGAGGTAGATAAAGGCACCTGAGTTCTACTGGTATGTTGAGTCAAGACGTGTGTGCAATTGCCTGGAGCTTCCAGAGGAAAAGCATAGGATTGCATCTGGCCTTTTCATCTTTTGGCTGGTCATCCAGCGTTCTTGCCAATGCAGTGACAAGAAAGTCCTTGTCATAGCTTTGATGTAGTCTTCGCGTCAATGAGTTTCACAGGCCGACAAGATACAGACAGTTGAAAAGTCAAGTGAACAACTTAGAGAAGAGTGTTGGATTTCTACAGGATAGCTCAAATTTCTTCCCTTCAGATATAAGCAATGGGTATGTCCTCCATCCAGAGTTCTTAATTGCCCATCGAAGGAACACGGGCTTGGATGCTTCTTCATTAATGCCGGCGGTAAAAATCCTATGGATGTGGAAAATGGACCCAGATAAATTGTTGATGACCTACTGAGGTCCCTTCCAACCTGAATTATTCTACCATTCTATGACACAATACAGTGTGATACAAGAAAATGCAGGTTGTCATTAGGAGGAGGCAGTGACTGATTAATATTTAAGACTCCAATTATGGATACGAATATCCAGAAGATACTTCAATCATCACAGATTAGGGGAATTAGGAGAGGATTCATTTAAAAGTTTAGATAAATTAATTTATCTCGCTTCCATTCAGCCACATAAAAATTAGGGGACTAACCTAACAGTAGTCAGCTCATCTTCTAGATTGTGGAGAAGAGATGAGGTTCTCCACGTATTCAGCCCATCTATCTTCAGCATTTATCTGAGGTTCCAGTGTCCCCTCAGCCTGGTGCCTGGTGTTTTTCAGCTGTAGATGGTGCCTGTGTGGCTAGCTCAGACTAAATGCTGAAATTTCAGACAGCTGAAGTTATACAGCATGAAGTCCAGGCTAAATGGCTTAGACTTCTGTGGACAGTTACATGGATCCTTGACTCGTGTACCCGGATTTGGAAATTTATTTTTTTATTACAGCTTTTATGAAATTCAACTACTCTGTTAATACATTCAGTATTTTATTACTGAAGAACTTCTGGCAAATAAAAGCTCTTGTTCGTCTCTGATAGTTGGAGACTGTGGACATAATTTTTAATGTAGTATCGATCTCGTTACCGTTCTGGGATTGTTGCTGTTGGTTGGATGAGGTTTTCAAAGATCAAACTGAGCATATAAAGAGACAACCTACCTTGTATTTCTGTTGTAGGTGTGGATTACAATGTGAAAACCATCACAGTAGATAACACCCAGGTAGCCCTGCAACTCTGGGACACTGCTGGCCAGGAACGGTGAGAAACATTGTGTTGTGGTGTAACCCTGGTGGCCAGTTAAGCACCACACATGTGCTCGCTCACCAGTGGGGTGGGGGAGAGAATTAGAAAGGTGCAAGTGAGACAGCTCATTGGTTGGAATAAAGACAGTTTAATAATTAACTAAAAAATTAAAAAAAGCTCTTAAAAGTTTAGTACCACACTATTTCTTTAGGATGAAGGCTGACTTAAAAATGTAACGAGAATTATTTCTATAAGAGAAAATGCCTTAATAGTTAAAGAAAAAAAAATGTTTTTTTCACAAAAAAAATCCCATTTTAGTTGAAGATCTCGAAGTTTTTCTACAATTTCAGTGGTAATTTCCTTCCTTGTCTCCTCACCTATTGTGTAGTTTTCTATTACTAAAAGCAAGGATGATAATGATGATCTACGTTTTCCACAAGAAACTTGGGAAAAAAGCCTGAAACAGAAATTAGGCTAGCTTTAGGTAGAGCCCTTGGTGAGGGGGGAAATTTCTGCTCCAAGCTTAAAATAAAGGATGATGGGAGGTGTGAGATATGCAGCTGATGATCAAGACTAGTGGAGAACCAATTAAAGAAGGCAGAGGGAACTTTTCCAAGCACTTTCTTTCAAAACCAAAACTTTGCAAAGAATTTATTTGCTATTGCAGTAACTTGTGGCAGTAGCATCCTCTGAATTTTCTGCTGAATGTGAAAAGGGATGTGATGATTAGAATAGTTACTACAATTGACCTTGCAAACAGGATCTGTAGTGAAAATGGGTATTGCAGCTTCTCTCTTGCCTAGTTCATGAAATTTTACAATTCATATGTAAACCAAATTAGCAGGGGTTTAACCCATACTAAGACATGATGATTAGAAGAAACTGTATGGCAACAGCTTCGTTGGCAGGGGAGGGGATTACTATAAAATTTTACTTAGACTGTCAGGTTGCTGCTTCTGTTGAAAAGAGCTATAAACGGGTTCTTACTTGTAGGTACCGAAGTATTACCAAGCAGTTTTTCAGAAAAGCTGATGGTGTCATTGTGATGTATGACATAACAGCCAAAGACACGTTCACAGCTGTCAAGCAGTGGCTGATAAGCATCAAGGTAACCTGACATAACTTGACATCTCACCTCTGGTGTCGTTATTCTCTACCTTCTTCAGCACAGGGAGCGTTGGCAGGGCGACGCACAGAGCAGCGTGCTTTTTGTGTTGTCACAATTAGGTTTTTGTTAGTCATTTCGGTCTGCACAGTTACCACTGAAGCTATTTTTAGAGTCTCTCTGTATCTAGGAAAATAATCCAGGGGTTTAAGGGCTTAAAATGAGTGGTGGGGGAGAAGCCCGACGTGGAGTCGGCTGGTTGCTCAAAAAGGTTGCCTAGATGATAAGTGCCACTGGACCACCACTAGCCCTGGGAGGTGCTTTGGCTCCATGGTGATGGTCTGATGATCACTGGTCATCACTAGCATTTTGATGACCAAGTATGTAGCTCACAAGAGGTGGACCATGTTGTGAACATTAGCCAAGAACTTAAAGCTGTAGGATCTACATTAGCACTACAAAACTGTCTCGTGGTAGACAGTTCAGTTTGCTGGGGATCATCCTTGAGAAATACTTGAGAAAAGATGGTGGGGAGGTGGGGGAAGGGCTCTTTACATTAGTGATGGGTGATAGGACAAAAGGGAACGGGCATAAGCTTAGTCAGGGGAGGTTCAGGTTGGATGTTAGAAAGTATTTCTTCTCTGAAAGGGTTGTCAGCTACTGGAATGGGCTGCCCAGGGAGGTGGTTGAGTCCCCATCCCTGGATGTGTTTAAGAATAGGGTGGATGATCTACTTGAGGATATGGTTTAATGGGGATTAGGGATGGTTGGACTCGATGATCTCTAAGGTCTTTTCCAACCTAGAAATCTATGAATCTATGAATCCTTTCAACCACATGGAAACAAAATCATAGCCTATGCCACTGGGTGGCTTCAGTTTTTTACAACTACATGGAAACAAAATCAAAGCCTATGCCACTGGGTGGCTTCAGTTTTTTAAAAATTCTCTTTTTTTTCTCTTGATCATCTTTGTAGCTCACAGACCACACACTGAGAGTGCAAGCAGCTGAGTTTGCTTGTGGCCAAAAGAAAAAATAAAACTGAGACTGCTGCCATAAAGGACTGAGTCACTTCATCAAAGAAAGTGTGACTTCCTAATTGGTCGTTATTGCAGAGTATTGCTAATGAAAAGTAGGGCACAAATTGGTATGTGAAGGTCGTTTAGTTTGATTTTTGTAGAGCATGTGTTCTAGTATCATGCAGTTTTCCATAATGGCCAAGAGGTGTCTTTGCAGTTTGAAATTAGGACTCCTTCATTCAAATATTTCCAAACAGGCATGCTTATTCGTCATCTGAGTATCTCTACTGAAATAATAGTAGCATGAATTTTGGAAGACCAGGCCCTTATTAAGTATAAGATGATAACAAATCAGCCATTGTTATAATTCATTATGGTAAAAGCTAGAAGAGAATTGCAGGTTTTGATCCAGAAAAATCAAATATTGTGGTCAAAATTTCTTCCAAGCTGTAATAGTTCACTCATTTTTACTGGCTAATTTTGTCTGCTACAGACTATTGCTAAGTTGAAGACATGTGGCCAAGTCGATTTACTGCTGCAGCGTGCAGTTCTCTTTATGGATGTACTCGTGATAATTCCAGCCATTTTCAGAATTAATTTTGATCCGTGCCTATTCTGTGTATTTTTGGGGCCTATTCTGTGTGTCTCTCCACTACTTTATGCAATGTATTTGGCATAATATTCCCCAGATGTTGTGGTTATTTTCCTGTCCCATGTAATTAGAATAGCAGTGGCTATAAACATGCAATGTCAGAGCCTGTGGAGCGTGGTAGTTCTCTCTCCTATTTTAATGTAGAGTCTGATGAGCTTCTGTGCTGTTAATAAAAAAATTCCAAGTTAGTGCCATCACCAGCATTCTGTCTTTTTCGTGCTTTCCATCTAACTGTAATTCCTGACACGTTTGCAAGTAAAGCAGCACGTACCTGGCTTGTACGTGATGTCTTAAATGTCTTGTTGCAATGTGACATTTGTTAGTTTTTATCCTCTTGATCTGTGATTATTTTTTTTTAAAAACAATGCCTCAGTTGATATTGATTCTTTGTTCTACAGGAGGCAACTGGAGAGAATGTACCTGTGCTTTTGTTGGGTAATAAAACTGATAATGAAAAGGAACGTGAGGTCCCTATGGGAATGGGAGAGCATCTTGCTAAGGTATGATACTTAGAGGAGAACTCCTTACAAAACTTATCCTGTTTTCTTGAGCCCCTCTGCTCTCCAGGACTTTATCTCATGGGACTCTACCAAGGAGATCCCTGAAGAGGCCAAAGTCTACTCTCCTGAAATCCAGGGTACTGAGCTTGCTGTGCACCCTCCTTGCCACCCTAAGAATCGTCAACTCCACCATTTCATGGTCACTGCAGCCAAGGCTGCCCTTGAGCATCACGTTCCCCACCAGCCCCTCCTTGTTGGTGAGAACAAGGCCCAGCAAAGCACCTCTCCTTGTTGGTTCCTCTACCACTTGGAGAAAGAATTTATCATCCGTGCATTCCAGGAACCTCCTGGATTGCCTATGCCCTGCTGTGTTGTCCTTCCAACAGATATCGGCGTGGTTGAAGTTCCTCATGAGGACCAGGGCTCGTGAACGTGAGGCTGCTCCTGTCTGTCTGTAGGGGACCTCATCCACTCGGTCTTCCTGGTCAGGTGGCCTACAGCAGACCACCACTGCTGTGTCCCCTGTCCCTGCACTCCCTTTAATCCTGACCCATGAGTTCTCAGTTGGCTTCTCATCCATCCCCAGGTGCAGCTCCATGCACTCCAGCTGGTCTTTGACATAGAGAACACCCCCTCCTCCTCTTCTCCCCTGCCTGTCCTTCCTAAAGAGCCTGTACCCTTCCATTCTGACACTCCAGTCATAGGATTCATCCCACCACGTCTCCGTGATGCCAGTAAGATCATATCCGTGCAGGCACACACACCTCTGACTCCTCCTGCTTGTTCCCCGTGCTGCATCATTAGCACAGAGGCAGTTCGGTTGGGCCCCGGCCGAATGTGACTTCCTGGCTGGAGTGGCTGGAAATCCTTTCTGCTGCTCTTCAGGTGCTGTTGGCTTGTCTTGATCAAGCTTGATATTATCACCCTGGCCCTTCAAGTCTGGTTTAAAGCCCTGTCAACAAGCCCTGAACTCTCATGGTCTCTCCTCCCTTTCTCTTCGTTCTCTTTCTGTTTTTCCCCTCCCTTCTCTTTCTCGCTCTTCTCTCTGTGGATGGATTCTTAACAGAGATAATTTGGGGACCTTTTCTTCCTCCTACCTCCTGTAAAACCATAGAAGATCATCTGTTACTCCTATAGTAGGAGTAGAAAACATGTTTCCTTTTAGTAACTTTCCATCAAGGAGATAAAATAAGTAGAGTTAACAGTCTAGTGATCCGTGTGCCACAATTTAAGCATTAAGAGACTGCAAATAGCAGATACTTCTTTATATTCCTCTGTACCAATTTTTCTTTTGAATCTCTCTATACAATGCAAATAGTTAGAACACCAGTTCCTAAATAAACACTCATTTATTTAGAAATAAGTCATTCTGATGTTCCTTAGAAATTAACTGAGTTGGTAGGAGTTTAAAAATATGTGCTGGATTTCGTGTATATACTTGTTTATCCTTTGAAAATAGATTTACAGCTCTGCTTGCAGGTAGCCAAAAAGAATATTTTCAAAGCTTGAAATGCAGCTGAATTTTTCTTGGTTTATAGGAAAGATTGCTGCTAGGCACCTCTCTATTACTGCAAGAATTAGGGCTGGGTCTCTTTTTATCTTAGTTTGATTATTTTTGCAGCCTTTTACAAGCATACCTCCATATTCAGGTTTGTGTCCACTGTTTTGTTTTTATAGGGGAGCAATATCAGCCTTGAACTTCATCCCTCAATGATTGTCCCTTTAGGAAATCTGCTTTATTTTCCTGTGTGCATGGAAACACAGGTAGTTTTGAGACCCTGGAGGCTAGGAGGGAATCCAGCATGTGACATGGAATCCTGTTGTGAAAAAACAAATGACACATAAGTGCTAAATGGACAGAGTAGGTGTCTTACGTGTCGTTTAGCTCTCAAAAAATTGTACTAGTAAAAGCAAGATGAATCATTCTAATATATAGAACTCACAGCCCACCAGGCCATTAATTCTAACATGTCATGCAAGAAAATAAAATGTTTTGCATAAGTAAAATGAAGGTGTCAAATGAGAGATGGTTCTATTGAAATGAATGGGTCTGAATGACTCATTTGAATGGCTGGAGGTGCTGCCTGAGGTAGCTAAGGGAAGGAATGATTGATGACAATGGGCTAGTTGAAAAGCAGTGTAGATGTAATTAAATTATAACAATTTGCTTACTGAGCTAATAATAACCATGCATTTTAATTGAATTCTTAATTCCTGCTAAATAGTCGTGCAATTCCAATGAAACCACGTACCACTGTCTATTAGTGAATGCAGTTGAGTTACTAATTTTGTGAATAATCCCATTAATTACTCACAAGTGACCTAAAATACATGACACCAGGTGCTGTGCTGACACAAATATTTATAACCATATTTGATGAGAACAACCTTGAACCTTTTTTTTTGCGCAGACAAAGACCCAGATTAGCCTGTTGACCCTGAAGTACAACAGTTTTTATGGACTATTTCAAGGTCTCGCAGGGATGGGTTCATTTTTACCTAGTTTTTTCTGTATTTAGAGAAGAATGTGTACTTTGAGAGGGCATTCCACCCAGTTGCAGTAACTATTGCTTCGCTCCAGTCCCACATCTTACAGGTCAGTGTACTACAACCACGGGCTCCCGCTGTAATGCATGTGTCCCATAACTTGTTGGCAAGGCAGGCAGCACAGTTCGTTATTAAAAGCAAGAAGGTCAGCCTGAAGGGAGTCCTTTGCATTCCTTGTCGTTTGAGAAGACTGGTAGTTGCAGTGTGTGTGATATACCCCTGGCAAGAAAGGATAGAATGGTGATAGGGATCGTGGAAGGCATCATAGGGAACAACAAGGCTGTGATGAAGTTGATGTGTAGTTGGATGAATTAAAGAGTAAACAGCGTGATGGTAAGGAGAATTTTGCAATATTGGCTTTGCAGAAGGAACAGCAGATACAAACCAAAGTGTTCACGTGCAGTACAAGAATAACCTGGTGGAAAACATATAAAACTCTCTTGTTAAAGCTACTGGGAGTAGAAAGAGAGAAAGAAAAAAACAAAAGACAAGTCCATTTGACTTTTTTAGCAGAGGATTCAGACAGAAAACTCCGTTTAACAAATTTCTGTTTAGCTTAACTTCATCTGATGGAGAGCTCACATGAGCACAGCAACAATACAGAAAATATTCAGATGATATCGTGAGTGTCCAGGAACAGTTAATGTTCTATTTGAGTGGATTGGTGTAACCACTGCCAATTATTTACCTAAAATGGCTTATGATATAGGTGCTACTCAGGCATTTAGGCAGTATGATTTCATTTTGGCCCTGCACAGACTTTCCCCAATGGTCTTAAATGGATCAATAAATCCTTCTCTATCTCTATTCCTCAACTATAAAATAAAATAATAATGCCTTTGTCTGCCTTGGCTTTGCAGACTAAGCATGCTTGGCGGCTGAGCGCTGGTGCTGTGTGTTCTTGCAGTGTCTCCTTTACCCACCTGCCAGTGCCGTTGTACAAATACTGCTAATGAGGGAGCTGCTCTCGTGGTGATACTACTTTACAGGACAGAAATTGTCCAGCTCCCTTTGGCAATCATTGATTTTCCTCCCTATTCTTCAGATGTCTGCTGATTTGTGTGTAACTTTAAAAAGTGAAGTAATTACCAGTGGTCTCCCAGGTACCATAGTCAATTCCTGATGGAGATGGATGGCATTTCCTGGCTTATTGGTTATATGTGTCCTGCCTTCTGCTCCTTTGTCCTTGTTGTACATGCTATCAATTAAAGTTTTCTCCCTGATTCAAAGGAATGACTCTGCATTTCCAGGCTGACTCCCCCTCCAGAGAAGGACCTGTTTGCCAGACTGACAGAAATCATAGAATCATAGAATGGTTTGGGTTGGAAGAGACTATAAAGATTATCTAGTTCCAACCCCCGTGCCACGGGCAGAGAAATCCTCCACTACACCAGGTTGCCCAAAGCCTCATCCAGCGTGGGCTTGAACACTTCGTATCGAGTATAAAGTGCTGTCTTTCACCAATTCCCCCTAGCCCTGCAATTTGTTGAACAATCCATTCAGATTGATGCCAGCATAAATTTCATGCCAGGGTTCCTCTGCTCTAGTGAGGAAGATGTAGTGGTAGTATCACTCTCTGCTTGACTGACATCAAGTAGCTAGATGCAAATGAAAATAGGCAGATTGTTATTTCCTAAGCTACTGACTTATTTATTTGGGTTTTAAGATACTGTCATAAGTACAAGTAAGACACATAGAAAAGTGGAAAGTGAATAAAAATTGAAATCTGGGTAGGTAAAAGGGCATGTGCTCATACCATAGAGACAATGTAGGTGAGCTGCTATGTAATATCTTGTGGAAGTAGTGGGATATCTGTTTTGGAGGGGGTAATCTGTCATTCCCTCTCAAGCTTGTCCTGCCATCACAGCTGCCAGGTCAGGCTTTTGTGCAAATCATCTCTTGCATTTGCATTTACTGTGATAAGGCTTCAGCTGAAGTGCTGAGAATGTCTCCAGGGCTTGATCATTTACCTGTTGTTCGTAATTGCAAAGCTCCCGGGGGCTACAAAACCAAAAGCACAGGCTGACTTTGAAAAAAGTGGCAGAAAAAATTCACAACTATGAAAAATGAAATAGAATTAATCTGTTGTCATTTTTTTGCTGAGGTTTTTAAATGGTCATTTGCTGGAAAAAAAAAAATGGTTTCGAACTGTTAAATACAGAAACATTGCTGCTGAAGCTTTCCAAGGTTTAAAAAGAAAAAAAAATCACTGGAATAATTTTCACCTGCTTTGTCAAGCACTCAGTGATGTACTAATTGCCTCATCATCACAAGGAGTGTTGACAAGACTGCAGTACCTTACAAGGCATGTTTGTGTTCCAGCCTTTGAGAGACAGAGATCTTCCAGCAAAAGCCACTGTATAGAACAAATGTCTGCTAAGAAATGCAAGTAGTTGTTGTTTGGGAGGCATCCTTGTTCTTCTGTTGTTACTTTTTACTGTTAGCTCTAGAATTAAATCCTAGTTTTGCCTGAGATGATCTATTTCTGTTTCTTTATTTGCATATTTCACTATATTTGTGTTGCTTTTTTCAAGCTGGGGTGAGAGATTGTGCAGAATTAATTTAAATGGTTTCTCTGTTTGATTCTAGGATTACAATTTAATTTTCTATGAATGCAGTGCATATTCTGGCTACAATTCCAAAAAATCTGTACTTCACTTGGCTAGGTAAGAAGAAAACACCATCTATGAGTTCTATATGTGCCTGACTTCCCTGTCACTGGTGACGGAGTCAATTCTGGTTGTTAATTTAGTTTGATGGGAACTTACAGTGATGAAATATTTGTTCCTTTTAAACTGGTCCGTAGCCTGACCCTGTTGCTCCAGCTGAGTGGTTCATAAAAAGTCTTGTGTAAGCTAGTGAAGGTCTGTACAGACCCAGAAACACCTGAATTGTTGCTGGGAAAACCGGGAACGTTGTGATAGTTTTTGCAGAAAGTTCTTGGAGGTTTGGAGAAATATGCTTGGAAAGGGATACTGTGGAGTTCTCGCAGCAGAACGTTGGGTTTCATTCTTTCTTCCCACTGCTTGTTACAGCTCAAAGTCTGCCTGGGGACTGGGAGAGAGGGAGAGGTGGGGTTTTGAAATTCTACCAAGACTTGGGGTAAAACCACGGGTAAATCTGGCCCCTCTGAGCTCCTCACAGGGGTGAAAACACTGGTGATGAATTGGCAGATCTTCAATGTTGTTGCTGAAGTTAGGGAAATTTTGTCAATGTGCCAGGTCATTGGTAAGTGTCTGGCTAGCCAGATATGGTTTTGGTTTGCTTCAGCCTCAAAAAAACCCAAAAAGTCGCTAATTTGAGTCTCTGTAATATACAATAAATGCGGACAGTCAGCACCGACTACCTTTTTCTAACTCAATGACCAAAGGCAGTTTTGTGATGGAGCCATCATAATTGTGCTTGTTTGTTTGTTAGCTTACCAAATTATCTATTAATCTCTGGACCATTTTATGGGCTTGGGGGGAATGATCTTTTTTTTGATATCTTTTGGATATTACTTTTTTCTCAAATGTATTGTTTCTTTCTCCTAGGATTTTAAAGGAACACGAAGATCAAGTGAAAGAGAAAACCGTTGAACTTCAGTCTGATATGACTAAAAGGTCTTGCTGTATCAGGCCATAAAATGCTGGGGCATATTTAGATCAGCCATACATCTCTACGACACTACGTGGCACCGTCAGATTTGCTTTATCGTCCAAATATTTCTTCTGTGTTCTGAGTGTAGATCTAAGTGAACCTTAAAATCCCTGTATGCTCTGATCTCCACTTTTCAAATGTTGTCTTTAGTTAATTGACAATTTATTTGGGGCACTAACAGTTTTATTCTGTTACCACTGAATCTTCCTTTGTGATCAGGCTTGGAGAAGCTGCCATATTAGTAATAAGAAATAATTTTATAGGAAGAACATGACTTGGAATGAAGTAAATTCTTAATGGTGTGGATGACCTGTCTTCTGAATGCTTCTGTTGATTTCAGTGCTCTTTAGATCTTAATTTTGTGCTGACCTTTGTTGCAGTTTTTTTAAAAATTGAAACAGGTAGCTGGCTGGTTGTTTAAAAGCAACACACCAGCCATTACAAAGTGTAAGGTGATATTTTAAAGCTGAGTGTGAAACACACGTGAACAAAAGATTGAAGAACTGTGAAGATCTTCCTAAGTAGCATTAATTAATTTATACTACAAGGTGTTGCCTACAAGTCCTTGATACGAAACCCTTCCTGACGTTTAGCTGTGATGAATTAGGTATGTTTGGACAGGTCACTGAGATAGCATCCACACTTGCCCGAGCTGCTGCCCAAGAAGCTGTTAGGTTTCCATGGTGAGGTGGTGCTGTGCAAATATCTAGTTTTGTTTCCAGAAACAGTGAAGTCCTGGTAGTGCAGTGCTTTACTCTGGCTCGTTGGCTTTGAGCAAATCAGCGTGTGCTCTTCATGGTGTTTGCCATGGCTGTATGGCGTTGTGTGGCAGAGCTTG